CCATTGCCAATGTGCCACGTTTGATTGCCGGAGTTAATATATCAATTGGTGTTGGCGGCGGCGGTGGCGGTGGTGGGGCAATACCCCCTACGTCTGGAAATCCAAAACCAATGGATACAATACTGCTAAAGGTATTGAATATTCGGAAGGGACGCAGCATAACATCAAAGATCTTTCATGGCCCTTGATATCACACCTACCCATCCATCCGCAATCCTAACTTCCAGGAGCATTCACATGACCAGGATTTCGGCGGGCAATTTACATGGATGGCTCCCCAACCTGGGACCTTGATTGCAGGATATGTAACCTAGGAAAATTCGTAAAATATTTCAGATATTGTCCTCGATGATTGTAAAATTCCCCCAAATCCCAGACATTTCACCATGGTTAATATAAGGACAAAACTGGGAAACAACGTCGTTGGCACAACTTTGTGCCAACGAACAACAAACATGTGCAAGTGCTTGCTGAGCCAACGCTTGGTCTATCAGGCTGGATCTCCACGATTTCACCCAAAATTTCACAGAACGCTAAAGCATCAAACTTTCGGTTAGGGCCATCAATATATACCATGGCTATGTTGCCATAACCAGAGGCTACCCATGGCTACCCTAAACTTCTGCAATGGAATCTTCGAATCTTCAAGAACGAACGAACGTTTGGGTTTGTGGTAGATGGCCATCCAACGTTTGTATTCTGGGGGGTAACACCTGGTATTTTGTTACAGTTCGCTATTGAAGCCATGGCCCAGTCGAAATAGTCGATTTTCCCAGCTAGAAAATGGTGATGTTCCCATCCGTTTTTTGTATCATCATGAAAACCATCATTAACCATCATTAACCATCATTAACCATCATTAACCATCATTAACCATCATTAACCATCATTGACCATCATTAACCATCATTAACCACTAAAATTGGTGATTTCCCATCGTTATGGGACAGTTTACCAGAGGGTAACATGAACCAAAATAACAAAAATTGGCCAAAAAAAACACCGTTGGATCCCATTGGGCCACCATTGTAGCCACCATTGGCTACAGTAAATCCATGTAAATCCCCCTTTTGTCTGTCTGTTGCGAAAAAATCACCATTGTTACCACTAGAATATATAGGCTGATTCTAACCATTATAATAAAAGTGTTCCGTTTGATGTTAGTTATAGCAAGTTATAGCCACATAGTAACCCCAACAATATGCCAAAATGGTTCAATTCATCCCTATTTTAGTACGCATCGGCCCGGTAGATACCTGCCTGTGTTTTGACAGATCATTTGTTGAAAATGCTGGTTTTTACAACATATTTAGTCATGTTTTCGGCGCATGAGGAAGTAACTTGTTTAAGAGTCAACTGTCATCATAGGCGCAACATTTGGAACATCAAAATGAACTGAATCATCTAGAAGCTGACAGGGAGCCAAAGCTCCTCCCCACCAGATGGGGCAAATGCATCAAATGCAATTTAGCAATGATACCCCCCCTGCAGAAGAGCGGAAGGAAGACAGTACAGTTTTGGATGTTGCGTGCAGATTTTTTTCGGACATTACTTTATGTAATGATAGGGAAATCACAATGAAAAGTGTGGCTGTTCAACCGGTAGGAACCCCGGACGACATGAATAGATGTACAATGCTTATGCAAGGCTTGTGGGGAGAGATGGTTTGAGGGTGAGTTGGTCTGCGGGCGACACCTTCGAATTGAAGTAGAAGGTTTGGGATAGGACCCGGGAAGAAATGTATCGAGTTGACAACCTAAGTTGTTGCACCCCTCCACACCAAAACCATCAAATCCTTTGCAGGTATCTACCCTCTGGTAATTTAACATAGCTATTGAAAATGGCCATTTATAGTGGATTTACCCATTGAAAATGGTGATTTTCCATAGTTATGTGACAGTTTACCAGAGGGTACCAGCCCGGCACCGTCCAGGCTGCTCTCTCAAGGGCACGCCAGCAAAGACCACCTGAAAGAGGCTGGCCATCTGAAAATGATGGGCAGAAAATCAACATCCCACAATTGTTCAATAATTACCCTCTGGTAAATAAACATAGACCCTGAAAATAGCCAATTTTTAATGGAAACTAGTCTTCCAACCCCTATCTGCCAGGGTCTATGTGAATTTACCAGAGGGTATATGGTACCAAATGTGCTTTAAACATCCCATAATTATGGTACCAGATATTTTCATACATCCCATTACCACGTTGTTTTTCAATCCTCAACCTACAGTCCGATACCATCCGATACCGTGGCCATAACTTCCTTGGGTAAAAATTCATCCCAATTCTCAGACAACACCCACAGTGGTAACAGCAAAAAACAGAGATCACAACAGGAAAAGGCTGGGATAGAACTGAATTTTTGAAGAACCTAAAGGAGTGATGAAGAACTGATCAGTAAGTGGTTTTTTGAATATAGGAAAAAAGGGAAACATGCACATTCTAGCACTTCTTCCGTAGAAATCATATCTCGCCCCCTTTTGTCATCCTCAAAAAAATCCCCTTTTGGCGGACCAAAAACCAACGCCCAAATCCCCAAATCCCAGCGGCAGGTCTGTAGCATGGCATGACGTTCCGCGCTTGCTCCATGCTGTAGAGCCAATAGTCTCGAATCTCTTCCCCGCTGTAGTCCTGCTGGTGGCCAGGTAACCTATGGTAACCTCCTCCCCGAAAGTGATAGGAAAGTCACCTGGAATCATGCCTTGAAAACAAGAAATACTTGAAACCACCAATTGGTTGAATTATCTATGACTATCTATGACATCTACGATGATCCATGATAATCAGTGATGATGTTGAGCTTGTTCAAAAGCCATTCTTGTCACTGTCTTCTTCCTACGGATGATTTCACCACTGTTTGGTGACTTTGCCGGAGGCATCACATGAAATCGTATCAAAAAAAACTTGTGTTAAAGAGGAATCCAACAGGAATATCATGTTCCGACAAAAAAACGGGCCTCCTCTGGAAAGCCTTCCCGGCTTCCCGGTTCGGAAGCCATGATCTACAACCGGTGGCTAAAAGTCCACATCAATTCGTGTTTTTTTTCAAAAGGATGGTAGATCCCATGAATTTCCATGATATCATCCCAAAATCCCATGGAAAATTCCATTCAAATCCCAATTGAAATCCCATAAACAACTCCCCCGCGCGACTGGGTCACCAACGAACCGTTAAATGGGATCAGCGATCACCGTCGGGGAAGGGCGTCCTTGCTGTATTTGCATAAGATCCTTGGAAACATGGGCAGATTTGGGGGGACCTTTAAGAAAGTCATGGATCCCGGATCCCCAAGTCACCATGGGTTTTCAATCTGTTTAACAATACTAAGTCATCATCCATGACTTGAACTGGGGCTACCAATGACTTAGAAAACCTCTGCCCCGATGTGATTCACCCATGGATTTGAGGTCCCACTGGTCCAAGATGCTCAGGGTAAGTGCAAACCGAGCCATCTTCAGGATCGATTTTCACCTGAAGCGCAAGCCCCAGCCATGCCCCAGCCATGAGTCTCTAGCGACGCATACGCGGCGCGCATACGCGCGCCTGCATACTGAACCCCGATCTGTTCTGAAACTGAACCCCGAAAACCAGAGCCTGCCTGCGCACGACAAAACTTCCTGCTGGTCGTTCATGTCATAGTGATAGTGACATATTTGTTGTTGGGCTCTAAGTCACTTCACCCTTGAACTGGTAACATGAACAACCCTAGAATGGTCACTCAAGCGGATAGGGGTCCTCCACTTTTTGCTCGTCCAATGCTTTCCGTAAAAATCAAGCCCGATTTACAGTCTCTATTCAAAAATCGGATGACGAAGGTACAAAAGAAGCACCAACGAATCTGCTGAGTTCACAGTGAACCCAGCCTTTGGCAATCCATCCCTTGACAAATCCCCCCGAATTTGAAAAACGATCTCTACATTGGGCTGGAATATCTCCACTGACCAGTGGTTCCATTTTTCCCATCCAGCGGGAGCAGCTCGGCCTTGGGTTCTACTGCTTGATGTTCTCCAAGACCAAGGAATCGAATCAGTAAGTCCTGCGCTAGGGCTTGTTGTTTCATAGAATGATTGGCCTATAATATATATATATATACCCTTATATATATATATACATACCATTATATATATATTATATATACCTATCAAGTATCTTGATGGTTGTTTTAACCAACCAAGATGGAGCCTCTGACTTTAACAAATCAAAAAATTGGGATAAATTGGCCATGGCCGATGTGAATCTAATCAACGAACATGGGTAAGTGGGGTAACTACCTGCGTCCCCCGGGCTTTGCCCATCAGCCAGTATCCCCAAGCTTTATATAATACTCGTTGCACAGTTTGCTATGGAAAATCATCATGTTTAGATCGGCCATCTTCCATAGCCATATCAAATTAGTGGATGCAGAGGGTAGATTGTTGCCATATTTGGGTCGAATGTCCTCAATCTTCACTGCACTTTGGGATTTAGAATGTCCTTCACTTCTAGCTGGCATTGCTGGACGCATTTCTTGCTGTTGCTACCCCTGGAAGATGTGGGTTCCTGCTTGGTTGTGTGTTCCACTTACCAAGTGGGTAATCAACATATTGTGACCCAGTTATGTATGGAATATCCCAAGTTATATTGATGAACCGCTTCCAATCCAAGACTTGTGTTTGAACCCCCTGCCCAGCCCATGTTTTTTCACGCGCTGATTGTCAGGGACTGCGCGGCATGCAACATCTGCCGCGTGTTGTCAATAAGTTGTTGGTTAATCCCCATCAAAACAACACTCTATACATATATATATATATAATAGTTATTAATTTCATGTGTATGTATATATATATATACTTTCTATATATATATATATGTATATAATAGTTATTAAATGTTATTAATCATAATATTTCTATATATATATAGTTAATATATAATCTAATGTTATTAATGTTATTAATCTATATATATATATATTATATGGTGGTTTCCAATCCATACTAAGGTAACCCCCGGAAAATCATCCATCGGCTCGGTCCAGGCCCCAGGCGTGTGGCTCCGAGGCTTCGGCCAAGCGCGGCCGCTCGCTGCGTTCCGCGTTCTCCTGGGGGGGCCGCTGGGGACCCATGGATTTACCGGTGGATTTACCCAGTACCCTCTGGTAAACATACAAAAAACTATGGAAAATCACCATTGATAGTGAGTTTTCCCATTTAAAATGGTGATTTTCCATAGTTATGTTAGTTTACCAGAGGGTACCCAGTAAATTAACATAGACCCTGCCAGAAAACGTGGTTGGAAGATGAGTGAAACCATGAAAAATCGGTCAGTTTCAGGGTCGAACTGTTTATTTACCAGAGGGTACCCTCTGGTCAACATACAAAAAACGGATGGGAAAACCACCATGTTGAATGGGTAAATCCACCATAAATGGTCATTGTCAATAGCGAACTGTTGACATAACCAGAGCGTATGGAAATCTCTGAAACATCCCAAATGTCACAAGGATTTATTTTCTGATTTTGACTCAGATCGAAGATGATCGAACTGGTTTTGTAAGGTTGTTTCTCAACATGGCGTTTTAGGAACCACTTCATGGGGAACCAGAAATGGGGGCCTTTTTTTGTATCCCGTGATCTGGAGATTTGATTTCAACATATTCCATCATGTTTTAATGGAAAAAGTCACCATATTTGATGGTTAAATCATCATGCAATTCTCAATATCACACTATAATACTATAGTTTATTCAATGTGTATTATATGATATTATATGTTGTTTATTAGTTGATGACATTTGATTAGAAAAACCATGAAAATATCCAACACTATCCGTTCTTGTGGGGACCAGAGGCTAAACCCCCCCCCAGCCATCGATCCCTTGGGGCGCCCGGCAAAGGCCCAGTCCAAGATGGCTCGAAACTGCGTGGGCTCCTCGGGGATTCAACGAACAAAAATCGTGGAAAATTCTGGGGATATCAATTCATGGTATCCATGTTTGCTGTCATCGGGTTGATTCAAGGGAAATTTCGGCAGGAATATGTTTTCCCGTCATGATTAAATCATGATAAATCAATAAATGGCTCCTGTAAAGCTGGTTGCTGGTTGCACCTCCCTTAAACCATCCCAATGATGTTGCTTCAATCATCAGGCTTAGCAGCTTAGCAATCGGCCATTTGGATAACAAAATCACCTGTTGGTGTCAACCTTTTTGTGTCACTATCATCTCAAGATTCGCCAACCCCATTTGGGCCCCCTTTTGGGAAACAGGTCATCTAAATCAACACCCACCCCACCGCTCCAAGTCAAGAAAGATGCGTCCCTCGTGGTCCAGGGAATGCAAACTGCTCCAACGCCCCGTGCAGAGCGAGTTCCTTGGCGGTCCAATGGGTCAGTGACTGAGACGACGGCCAGTCAAATGGTGTTTTTGCCCAAAATGGCCAACAGAAAAATGGTGCGGTTTCATTGGTCCAAAAATTGAACCTAGATCCGAACAAATGCCTCCGAACCAAGCGTAAAACCTAGATTTATCTGAGAATGAGTCAAAACGAAGCAACGAAATTTGATAAAAAAAGGGTGGGCAAACATCCCGATGCAGATTTTTATTGGTCTGAAAATCGGGTACTCTAAAATTTACTTGGTTTATCATCATCCTACAAAATTTGAACTGGCAATTTTGGGATATACAAGTCCCCCATTCCAAGACACACCCTCCTTGATCATACTGTTGCGTATCCCATTGTATTCATATAGAATATCCCCATTATATCCCCATCAAACCATATTAAACTCCGTTAACCCAATTAATGCCAGCTCCTTGAGGATTCTCATGTGAGACCACCGGGCATGACATCCCTTCGGAACATGATCTACATTCATGGGGGGGGTTCCATCTATGCAATGAATAGCAACCCCAAAGGTCGATGCCGAAAATACTGAAGGGAAACCCAGTTTCATCATGTGATAAAATTTACATCATCGAACTACCATATTTTTTTCAATAAGTTATCTATGTTCGGAAACGATGATATCCTCCAATAAAAATGTACATGTTCGGCATGGCTGTTTGTATCTGTTTGTTGGTTGCGGAGGGAGCCATCACAGGACCCAGTTTCAGCAATGATCTGGGGAAGGCCTCAAATTGATCGCCTCGGATTGGTCACAAAACAAACATCCACGGGCAAAATTGACATTTCCATGGTTAAAAATACCCACCAGCTCATAAATTGGTTGTACACTCATGATATCATGATATCCCATTTCTATACCCATTGTATCTGCCTATATCACCTGTTTTCCCGAAAGCTCCTGCTTCCAAAGAGGGGTCATCTTCATGATCATCAATTTTCTTCATCTTCATCATCATCATCATCCTCTTCATTGTCCTTTTCACCGTCATGCTCATCATCACCGTGCTCTTCATCATCATCGTCATCAACAACTATCTACATCCATCTACAATTTCATATATTAAGAATTGAAGACGCAGGTGCATTGATGTAGGCGAAAGCATTTTCACAATGGATACAGGTCTACAAATGTAGTGAAAACCACTACACGTAGCAACAACTATGTAAATGCAGTTGTGCAGATGCAGGTGCATAGAAAACGTCTACTCATCTACAACATTCTACAGTTTATGCAGGTGTGTAGATGCAAGTGCATAGGTGCAGGTGAAAAACACCTACACACCTACAACTGTATATTTGAAGGTGTATAAACGCAAGTGCATGGATGTAGGTGAACACATCTAAATCTGCACATCCACAACTGCAAATTTGCAGGTTTCTCGATGCAAGTGACAAGATGTAGGTGAAAACACCTAGTTACACAGTTACACATCTACAAGTTTGTAACTGTGCAGGTGCAAAGATGTAGGTGAAAACACCTACACATATCGAGTCTGTATATTCCATAGCATATCATTGTGATGTGGTTTGTCCTTGGTGAACCCTTCCTGCACGAAACACAGGTCGGTCCTCAAAAAGCTGCGATAAATTGAGATTTGGTTTGTCGTTGGTGAACCCTTCTCGCACGGAACGCGTGTCGATTTTGGAAAATTACCATGAAATTGTGTTTTTTTGCGATTTGGTTTGACCTTGGCGAACCCATTCCGCACGAGATGTGCATCGATCCTTGCCAGATTTGGAGGCCTTTGAAAGATCTCATCACCCCTTGAGCTAGATTGGATGACTTCCGGACAATCTTCATATGCTTCGATCCTGCCGACCCCCGCATTCTGCAACAGACTGGCTATCACTCAATCATACTCAATCTTTTTCAATCTGATGGATTTCGAGAAACTGACTGATGAGGCCACACGAAGAACACGAAGACACCATCCGCTATTTTCAATGAAAGTAGGATGACACTAAAATTGCAAACCGTCTGCATGTAAAACCTTCTGTGTACAGGCTTCGAACTTCTACCTATGAAAGCACCTGCGTGTCAAGCTTCTGTGTGTAAAAGCCTGAGTGTGAAAGCTTCTGTGCGTAAAAGCTTCTCGGTGTAAAACTTTTATGTAAAGACACCTGTGTGTGTGTGAAAACCTTCTGTGTGTGTGTAGCTTTCTCTGTGTAAAGGCGTTTTTGTAATTATAAAAGCGTCTGTGTGTAAAGGCATCTGTGTGTAAAAGCACCTGTGTGTAAGGGCACCTGTGCGTAAAGGCACCGGTGTGTAAAGGCACCTGTCAGTAAAAATATTTATGTGTAAACGTTTCGGTGTGCAAAAGCGCGTGTGTAAAAGTTGTTTGTGTGTAAAAGTGTTTTAGATCATCATCATCATCATCAACATCATAATCATCATCAATCATCAATCATCAATCATCAATCATCAATCATCAATCATCATCATCATCATCATCATCATCACCATCACCAGCATCACACCTGTCCTTTCCGGCCACACTGTCGTTGAAATCCCAAGCTTCGTGGGGGGAACCTTGTCATCTGGTTCCAACTAAAGGGGAAAGATGGGAATATATATATATGTGCATATATATATATATACATATATATATATTGTGTGTGTATCTATATCTATACATATATATATATAATAACCCCAAAAGGGTAGAAAAATATAGAATCCCAGCCAAGTAGTGATGAATTACGTTTCTATCTGTTCAACCGCTTGAACCCGAGCCATGTGTCTCATATTTTGGGCGACCCTCCAGTAAGCGAAAAAAGTGATCTCGGAGATGTTACCCTCTGGTAAACATACAAAAAAAGATGGAAAATCACAATTTTTAATGGGTAAATCAACTATTACTATGGCATACTATGGCCATTTTCAATAGCTATGTTTGTTTACCAGAGGGTACACCATTTGTAGATCAGTCTCGGAAGGGGAAACCCAGGGATGAAACTGCACTGCATACTTACTGTGGATGGTGGCGAAATCCTGCACCAGTTGCTAGATGGTTTATCCCATTGTAATTCCCATTCTTTACAGTCTCTCATAGATACCAATGGTTACCAACTGGCGCAGGAATTTGTCTACCAGTTTCTCCATCCACACTCTGGTTGTGTTCCCAAAGGCTCGTTGAGTCCTTCACGTTTAAACCCGCGACACACTTCTCCCCATTAGAGACAAGGCACTGCTCAACACGAAGCCTGTGTCCCCGCCCACCTGAGGTCACACATCAACATGGGATTTTTTCATGATCTTTCAATGGATTGGTTTAAGGGAAAAATTACAGGAAAAACCCATATTTAATGGGAAAATCTATGGTTTCCTGTAAAAATTCCCTTAAACCAATCCAATCACTTCTATTGGTGATTTTACCTAGCTATAAAATGGTGATTTTAACCGTCGTTTTTGTATGTTTATCAGAGGGTATCCCATATCATCTGGGTAAAACAGTTAATATAAACCAGTCATGACTGGGAATGGTAACCATACCACCTATATAATTATGGTGATGACTGAGGGATGGTTTATGGCATTGTTTTACCCACACTAATGGGATTTTTTTATGAATATAATGGGATATCATTTAATATCCTATTTTTCATGATGACCTTCTATGATTTTTTTCTGGGTGTGTCTGAAAATGGGCAGACCACAAATACCCCCAAACTCAGAATTTTCATGGGGGAAAATGAAGATAAACCAGCGGATGGAACTGGGGACCCGGGTACCCAATCTTCAGACAAAGTCAAATGCCATTCATGTTTTGAACCTGACACCTTCCAAATGTTTGGAGTAAAATCCTAGATTTACCCTCTGGTAAACTAACATAACTATCGAAAATCACCATTTTTCATGGTAAAACTCACTATCAATGGTGATTTTCCATAGTTATGTTAGTTTACCAGAGGGTAAGATGAAAAAGACATGGAGAACGCCCCAATGGATCGGTCCGTCCACTTGCTTCACGCTGACCTGAGCGCTACCGTGACGTCCTGTGGCTTCACAATCAATCCTCCCGTTGCTGGTTAAAGCCTCCACTGTCGTTTATATACCACCTTGATAATATCAATGGATATGTACATGAATCTATGTATGTATATATATATATATATATCAGTTATTTGTATCACCATTCTTGTCTGGTTTGTGGCTTCAACGCCCCTTTAGAAAATATTTTTTTCTATGCTTGTAACCGGGGATCATCATCCCGTTTCAAAGGTTGAAATGTATGAAATGTATGAAACCAGCAACTGGATATAAATACCCTCTGGTGAACTAACATAGCAATGGAAAATCACCATTTTTAATGGGAAAATCCACTATAAATGGCCATTTTCAATTGCTATGTTAGTTCACCAGAGGGTAAATAGAAGTACAAGCATACCAAAAAAACGTATACAACTCCTAAACTACTTTCTGGCTACAGTAATAGTTCCAGAAGCAACATTCATCAACCATGTTTATATATATATAATATATATATACATATAATTATATATACCCTCTGGTTATTTAACATAGCCATGGAAAATGGTCCATTTATAGATGGTTTACCTATTAAAAATGGTGATTTTCCATGGCTATGTTATATAACCAGAGGGTATATATATATATATACATACTAATCTTGGTCCATGTTCGACCCCGTTGAGTTAGGGTTTTTTTCCAGATAGATCCAGTCACATTGATCGATGCCGAGCTGGGCTGGCTGGGCTGACCGCGAACGTGACCCGCCTGGACAACAACAACTTTCAACGCCACCATGGTCTGGGATTACCCTCTGGTAAACTAACATAACTATGGAAAATCACAATGTTTAATGGAAAAAATCCACTATAAATGGTCATTTTCAATAGCTACGTTAAATCACCAGAGGGTACCCCAAAAATCGACACACATCACCAGAAATCCATGGAAAAGGAGGAGGAAATTGAGGAAATCTGGGTTTGAGAGGCAAGAAAACCATCACCAAGATGCACTTTGACTCTTTTCAGCACTTTTTTTTCGGGCAGTGTGTGCTTCACCAGGGTTGATCGGTTTCGGCCTTGGGTTGTCATATGATTTAGGAATTCTGGGATGAACATCCAGAAATTGGAAATGCAACTTGACCTACCGGAAAACGAGAAATGAAAAAATCTCTGTGTACTGTATATGTTTATAATATTATATGTAACAATATATAATAATAGTAAATTATATGTGTATATATATATACCATATTTATAAATATACATTATATATAGAATATACACAAATAATAGGAATAGGAAACAAACTGCGCAAAATAGCCGTAGTGAAAAATGCTCACCAACAACCTGGATATGAGAGGTGTTCCCAACTCTTTTGAATACGTCATCGGGGAAATTGGGGAAGATCTCGAATTCGGACAACCAAGAACGTAGAACGTGGGATGTGTCACGTGTCACCACAATTTCCATAGAAATTTGGAGGTTTCTTGAAATAGGGGTACCCCTAAATCATCCATTTTAATAGGATTCCCCGTATAAATCATCCATTTTAGGGTACCCCCAATTTGGGAAACCCCCATTTACCATTGGCCACGCAAAACATCAGCAATCCTTGTGGTGTTTTTTCTTCGCCCACGGCCTCCTCTTGTAATTCCTTGACGGTCGCCTGGTGCACCAGTCAGGACTTGGCCCACGGGGGTTGCAACACCAAGTCTAGGTCTGGGTGAATTAGTCATAGCAATATCATAGCAACCTCCAAAAAAGTAG